TAATATTCTCAAAATGGCCATCCTGCCTAAAGCAATCTACAGATTCAATGCAATCTCTGAAAATACCAATGGCATTCTTCTATGAACTAGAACAAATAGTTCTAAAATTCATATGGAACCACCAAAGACCCCAAATAATGAAAGTAATCCTGAAAAGAAAGAATTAAGCTAGAAGGGTTATGCTCCCCAACATCAAGCTCTACTACAAAGCCATAGTAATCAAGACAATTTGGTATTGGCACAAGAACAGACCCATTGACCAATGGAACAGACTAGAGAGCCCTGATATAAACCCAAGCATATATGGTCAATTAATATATGATAAAGGAGCCATGGACATACAATGGAGAAATGACAGCCTCTTCAACAACTGGCGTTGGCAAAACTGGACAGCTACATGCAAGAGAATGAAACTGGATTATTGTATAACCCCATATACAAAAGTAAACCCAGAATGGATTAAAGACCTGAATGTAAGTCATGAAACCATAAAACTCTTAGAAGACAACATAGGCAAAAATCTCCTGAATGTAAACATGAGCAACTTTTTCCTGAACACATCTCCTTGGGCAAGGGAAACAAAAGCAAAAATGAACACATGGGGCTACATCAAACTAAAAAGCTTCTGTACAGCAAAGGACACTTTCAACAGAACAAAAAGGCAACCTACAGTATGGGAGAATGTATTTGTAAATGACATATCTGACAAGGGGTTAATAGCCAAAATATATAAAGAACTCACACACATCAACACCCAAAAAGCAAATAACCCGATTAAAAAGTGGGCAGAGGATATGAACAGACAATTCTCCAAAGAAGAAATTCAGATGGCCAACAGACACATGAAAAGATGCTCCACATCACTAATTATCAGGGAAATGTGAATAAAAACCACAATGAGATATCACTTCATACCATTTAGGATGGCCAGTATCGAAAAGACCAAGAACAACAAGTGTTGGTGAGGATACAGAGAAAGGGGAACCCTCCTACACTGCTGGTGGGGATGTAAGCTAGCTCAACCACTGTGGAAAGCAATATGGAGGTTCCTCAAAAAACTAATAGTAGAAATACCATTTGACCTGGGAATTCCATTCCTAGGAATTTACCCAAAGGATACAAGTTCTCAGATTTAAAAAAGACATTTGCACCCCTATGTTTATCACAGCACTATTTACAATACCCAAGATATGGAAGCAACCTAAGTGTCCATCAGTAGATGAATGGATAAAGATGTGGTATATACACACAATGGAATACTATTCAGTTATAAGAAAGAAACAAATCCTACCATTTGCAACAACATGGATGGAGCTGGAGGATATTATGCTCTGTGAAAATAAGCCAGGTGGAGAAAGACAAGTACCAATTGATTTCCCTCATTTGTGGAGTATAACAATGAAGCAGAACTGAACGAACAAAATAGCAGAAGACTCACAGACGCCAAGAAGGAACTAGCGGTTACTGAAGGGGAGCAGTGGGGTAAGGCAGATGGCAAGGGAGGGAGAAGGGGATTGAGGGGTATTATGATTGGCACACATGGTGTGGGGGGATCATGGGGAAGACAGTGTAGCACAGAGAAGACAATTAGTGACTTTGTGGCATCTTACTACACTGATGGATGGTGAGTGCAATGGGGTATGGAGGGAGCTCGATATTATGGGTGAATGCAGTAACCACATTGTTTTGCACGTGAAACCTTCATAAGAGTGTATGTCAATAATACTTTAATAAAAAATTTTAAAAATAAACTCAAATCATTGCCCCTTGCTTCAAGACTATGAATAACTTATCCTTTTTGTTTTTCCATAAATTGTCTAGATGCTCAAAACCATTCTTAATGTTGTTATAGTGACTATATTTTTTTAAATTAAATTATATTAAAAAAATTTATTTCTAAGTATCTTACTGTGTTTGATCTATTGTAATGGGATTGTTTTCTTACTCTTTTTGGTACTTCATTATTAATATATGGATTCTACTTTCTCGTTTCTGATTTGGACACCTTTCTTCTTTTCTTGCCTAACTGCTCTTGCTAGAACTTCCAGTACCAAGTTTAACAGAAGTGGTAAGACTGTATATCCTTGCCTTCTTCCAGTTTTCACCACTAAATATGTTAGCTGTGAGCTTGTCATATGCAACCTTCATTCCATCTATACCTAACTTCTTGAGAGTTTTTATCATGAAAGAATGTTGGACTTTTATCAAATACTTTTTCTGTATCTACAGGGATGATCATATTAGTTTTAATTTTCATTTTGTTAATGTGGTGTATCACATTTCTTGATTTGCATATGTTGTACCATCCTTGCATCCCAGGGATAAATCCCACTTCATCATGGTATATGATCCTTTTAATGTGTTGTGGAATTCAGTTAGTTAGTTGTGTTAAGGATTTTTTAAACCTCTGTTCTTCATGGATATTCACTTATTTTGTAGTGCAATTTTCTTTTGTTTCAGTGTTCTTATTGGGCTTTGACATCAGGGCAATACTGGCCTCATAAAATGAGTTTGGGAATATTCCATACTCTTCAATATTTTGGAAGGGTTTGAGAAGGGATTAATTCTTCTTTAAATGTTGGTAGAATTCACTGGTGAAGCCATCTGGTTCTAGATTTCTATGTTCGGAGGTTTTTGATTACTGATTCAATCTCCTTACTTGTTATTTGTCTGTTCAGATTTTCTATTTATGTTTCAATCTTGATAAGTTATATGTTTCTAGGAATTTATCCATTTTTGCTAGGTTATCCAATTTTTGATGTGTAATTGTTCATAGCAGTCTCTTATGACCCCTTGTATTTCTGTGGTATCAGTTGTAATCTCCTCTTTCATTTCTGATTTTGAGTTAGTTTTCTCTCTTTTCTTCTTAGTCTAACCAAAGGTTTGTCAATTTTGTCTTTTCAAAAAACTAACTCATTTCATTTATCTTCCCTAATGTTTTTCTAGTCTCTATTTACCTATGTCTGCTTTGACTTTTGTTATTTCCTTCCTTATGCTAACTTTAGGCTTAGTTTGCTCCTCTGTCTAGTTCCTTGAGGTATAAACTTATATTGCTTATTTGAGATAATTCTTTTTTCTTATTTTAGGCATTTATCACTATAAAATTCCCTCTTAAAACTGCTTTTCCTACATCCCACAAATTTTGGTATGCTGTGTTTCCATCTTCATTTGTTTCAAGATATTTTTTTGATTTTCCTTCTGATTCCTTCATTGACCCATTGCTTGTTTAGGAGTATTGTTTAATGTTCACATGTTTGTGAATTTTCTAGTTTTACTCTTGTTACTGATTTCTAGTTGCAAACCATTGTGGTCAGAAAAAATACTTGATTATAATTTCAATCTTCTTAAATTTACTAGGACTTATTTTGTGACCTAACATATGATCTATCCTGGAGAATGTTCCATGTGCACTTGAGAAGATGTGTATCTGCAGCTGTGAAATGGAATGCTCTATATATGTCTGTTAGGTCCACTGATCCAAAATGTTGTTGAAGCCCAATGTTTCCTTACTGATTTTTGGTCTGGATGATCTATCCATTGTTGAAAGTGGAGTACTGAATGCCAATAACAATCAATTTCTTATCAGTTTAGCATTTTATCACTCTCCTGTGAACTCGCTCCAATTTTCTCTCAGGGGAGGAGAAAGGAGTAGTACATATGTTATGTCTTGAGGCAACTGTTAATTTTGTTTTTGTGTTTTTTGACCTGTTTGGTGTTAAATGAATGTGTTTATTTTACTATATTTCACTGCATACTTATGATTTGTGTACTTTTCTATATGTATCTTATACTTCAATTACATTTTTTTAACATTTTCCAAAGACCATATATAAATAAGCTACCTGCCCATTTGATCACTATGTCAGTATAAGACACCATGGATGTTTAATTCTGGGTTTGTAATTTTAACCTGAGACCAAGCGAATCTACTAGAACACGTCTGCCCTTCACTTGGTTCAGTCAAGGCCTGGATCAGACTTGGTTCAGCCAGTAGGAATTATCCTCCTCACATACTCCACTTCCCTTCCTGACCACAGCATGGTTCATTGTGTACCATTAACTAATTTACCTACACAGTCATATTTTCCTTGAACACAAAACTCTGAAGAACCACATGAGTCTAGCAGGCTGTGGGTTAGCTACCCTAATGATGGGCAAACATTTCTGTTGGCCAGAGAGATGCTCACTGTTGGGAGCGAATCTGTGGGCCTTTAGGCAGATTCGGTCACAAAAGCCTTAAGACAACAGCAACGTTTGAGTAAAGTCTTTCCTGTAAAGTCAGCAACAATGAATCCATCCATGCGTTAGAAACAAGTTTTCCCCTATTACCAAGAAGCACATTTAGTGAACTCCTAGGTTAGAGCTAGTGGTTAGGTTACCTAGCAACATGTGCATTTCTAAGTTAGAGCTAGTGGTTAGGCTACCTCGCAGCATGTGCCTTTTCTGTCCTTTGTTAGTCAAGAAACACCCTCTGCCCCAGGGGAAAGTCCCTCCCTTAAAACCTCCCTCCCAAGGGCCCCCACCCCCAAAATGGCGAACTCCCCGCTTCTCTTCCGGGTCCTCTGTTCCCGCCGGCGCCAACCAAGACCCAATCACCCCTCTACACCTCCCCGCCGGTGCCACCTAAGGTCCAATTATCTCCTGACCCACCCCTTACTTGCTAACCTGTATAAATTGAGCCTGCAAACAATAAACTGTGCCAGCTTGATCAGACATCCTGTCTTGCTGGTCGTTCTTTGTGTCCCTTGCCCCATTCTTTTTTTTTTTTTTCAATTCTCTCCTCCAGGTCGTCAACCCCCGTTGATAGTCCTGCAGGTCGGGACAGCTCACCAGGATTACCTGTGGTTGAATGATCACTGCATGTGTCCCAAGAGAAGACTGACTATGCTGTAGCAAGCACACATCTTTCCTTACTCATCAGAAGTCATTCATTGACAACTCAGCAAAAGGATTTCATCATTAATGTTTCACAAATATAGGGAAGCCACTTAAAAGGATACTTGTGGTCAAAGCTGTACCACAGCCTGAATAGCCATGCACTCTCCTGCTTTGTCCGGTTTCCTCTGGCAGAATCTGGACCATCCTAGGAACAAACAAGAAAACAGATGCTTAGCTGCAGAAAAGGAATTAAAATAAGGGGAAAAGGCTTCTTTTTATAACTTTTAAAGATTTTGAGCTCAGAATCAAACATTGTGCATCACCAAAGTTTCAAAGATAAATCTGGAGTTGATATTCTAAAAAAAATTGAATAAATCCAAAAGGCAGACAATCCCCAAAGTAAAAAGACTTGGTTATATCTGTGGGTAGATCAACTCAATAGCACTAATTTTCCTTTAGCACTCTTAATGCAATTTTCCTCAAACTTTCAGCAGATTAATTACCCTCAGGTCGTCTAGATCCTAACAGGCCAATATTCATTTATACAGACTATTAAAGAAAGCATCTGTAAAACCAACTTTCCAGGCCCCAAAAGCCCCTGGAGAAATCATATTTGGTTGAGTTTCTGGGTCCTACCAGCTGTGGGAAGATGGGGGTGATGGGCAGGTGAAATGGCACGAGAATAGCATTTCTGTTATTTTTTTTCTACCCTCAAGTAGCACGTTCCTTTACTCCTCCTCTCATGCCTTTCCAACTCAAACATCCCCATCATTTAATTTGCAGGATAACCTGTGAATTCAAGCACTTGTTCAAGGTTGAGGAAATCTGTTTTGTGCAAGGATTGCAAGCAGCATAACTAATATGGAGAAGTGAACTGACAGCCACAATTTGAGGGTGCTGCTGGGATTCTATGTTACTGGATGACAAGCTCTGAAGGCACAGATGCTTGTAAAGCACAGCCATTTTTATCATCATCCTCTTGAACGTTATAGGGAGAGGCAACTCTACAAGTGACATACAATGACAATAACCAAAGAAAAAGTTGAGCCACGATTACAAGTAGTTCTAAATTGCAGTAGGTCTAAGTTCCACCGCAACAGAGATGCCAGGATTAGTCAGAGATCACTGAGAAAGTCAGCATCTAATGAAGTAGTAGAAGGGAAATTAGCAAGCATCATTTAAATTCCTAACATTTCCAGCACCAAAGATTACTTTTAAAAACAGAGTTTCCATGGTATTTGAGGAATGTGTAGTGACAGATATGGAAATAGCTTAGTTAAATGGGCCCTTCTGTGGATGAGGAAATAAAACATGAGAGATTCCAGAGACCAACTTTATTTCACATTTTTAGAAATCAAGTTGAAGAAATAGGGCACAGAAATGTCTCCATTTGCAGATACTAATCATTCCTTCAGGTAATTAATTGCTAGCCCAACAGCAACTCTAAGGAGATTGCAAGATGCCACACAACTGAGTGAAGGGGTGGATGACCATCCTGAGAAGCAAATATCTTTATGGAAATATCAAATGGTTCTCTATAAAGTCACAGGCTCTAAGCAATCTGTTCTAAGTACCTGTAGAATCTTACTAAAGAAAAAACAACATGATAAATGTCATTAGGAAGGAAACTATATGCCATCCAGCACAAGTCCTCCTAAGTCAGTTTCACCTGCTTCTCCCCTAAAAACAATAAAGATGACAAACCCCTACTCTGTCACCCTAACCTCTGCAAAACCACAATGCATTGTCATCACTTAAGCCATCTTACCTCAAAGAAGCTACAGGACACTTCTATATGCCCCGAGAGGATCAAATGACATGAGTAAAGCAAGGGAAATGCTTCTTTTTTAAGGCAAACTAACAAGAGGTCCTCTCAGGCTACAATGAAATATGCCTACAGTCCACAAATAAGATAAAGTGATTGTAGAAATGTAAGAAACTAGAGACAACCCTGAGCAGTTACAAGGGATAAATTCAGGGTAAACAAAAAGTGCAACTTTGAAACAGAGGTGTTAACTTCTTATTCCAAGAGAGGGTGCCAGAAGCATGATTAGAGAAGGGTAGAATTTAACTAAATCCACCTGTAGTAGCATTGGGGCAATCAGAGAGGGTCTTCAGAACAGGATTAATTTCTTGAGCTTACTGGGAAGACAACCCAACAACTGCTTCACACCATGATTGGGGCTGCTATCACAGACAAGCCAGTGGAGCCCTTCCCGTGGGCTCCAAGCAGTACAGGGCTGAACAGAGGTCAGTGTGGGTGCAGGCTGATCCTACAATAGGCAGGTTGTCTTGCCTGAGGGTTTCAGCAACGGGGAAGCTCACTATGGATTTGGAGAGACAAAGAAGTGACAACAGGATGTTCTTGGGGTAAAAGATTTATACCCAGCTTTACTCTCCAGGTGATAGGTCAAGCACTGAAATCAAGTCTGCATCCAAGAGTCTGCAGGTCTGTAATCCACCTCCATCTCTGCCTCCACCCAGAGCACTGGGCAAAGCTCTTTATATAGTGACTCAGTCAGTAATAGCTCATTGCCTACAGGTGTGGAAGCATTAGCCCAGCACTAGGCCAATTACATCATCAAGTAGTTTAAGGTCAGGTGAGGATCCTGGCCAGAGGAACTTTTGCTTTCCACACACAGGTCCCCTTCCTGGGCTGTATAATCAGACCACTGGATTGCCATTCAAGTACCACCCACAGAAAAAGTGGGGTCTTGATCTCTCAGAGTGTCCCTCCCCCAGGAGGGTTCACAAGCCCCTTCAGGCTGCTTCTAGAACCTGGAATACCATTTCATACTGCCACCTTCTGCCACCCACACACCTACCTGGTCAATACCTATTCATCTTTCAAGGCTGTGTACAAGATCAGATTTTCTAAGAAATGTTTCAAAGGCAACAGTGCACTCTAAAAGCTGTAGGTGTAAACATTACAGGCTTTCTCAACAGACTATGTGGGTGGAAATCCTAGCTCTATTCCTGACTGGCCCATTGCCTTGCTATGTGACTCTGGGTAAGTTTAAATTGAGATATAATTGACATGTAACATTCAAGGCACAGGATGTGTTGGTTTGATACATTTACATATTACAATATGATTACCACCTTACCATTAGCTAACAACTAGTCTCTTAGCAACTGTGGAAAAAATGAGAGTTCCTGTGGCCAGGATTCTCACCTGGCCCTGGTTGACTAGCTCACTGCACACCTGTGGGCAATACATGGCTGCTGACTCTATATAAAGAGCTCCATCCAGTACTCCAGGCAGGACACGGTGGCAGGGCTGCACGGCTGCAGGAGAGCAGAGCAGAGGCTGGAGTGGTGGCAGCACTGAGGACAGAGGCCCAGAGGACAGCTGTGAGGGATGACTGTTTAGAGAGGCCCAGAGGACAGCTAGCAGGACAGCTGTGCAGAGAAGCCCAGAGGACGGCTATGCAGACAGAGGGGCCCAGAGGCAGAGACTGGCTTGCTGCATGCAGACTTGTTCTGAGGGAACAGGATTCTCGTGACTGACCTGCCACCTGGAAATAAAGTTGGGTATAACTATTTCTCCCCCAAGAACATTTTGCTGTCAATTCCTTTGGTCACACTGAATCCATAGCGAACTTGCCCAGGGCTGAAACCCAATGGGAAGACAATTGGCGTAGTCAGTAGGATTCATTGTTGACCAAAGAAAAAGACAGGCTGTCCTTATGGGAGGGGTGCTTCAGCGGGCAGCCTCTGTGAATGGAGAGAGAGTGGATCATCCCCAATGGGTATGTGGTCTGAGGTGGCTTGCCTTCCAGAGGACTGGGCCCCACCCCAGGACTGGAGGCAAGTAGAGGTGACACCTGAGGCAGTAGGGGTGGCCCTTGGTATAGTAAGCACATGCTTTGAGAAGCAGAGTGCCCAGGAAGCAACAGGAACTAAAACATAAAGCATAATGTTTTATGCTTCTCACAGCATTAAAACAGTCTACAGAGGAGACTCAAGAAATGGCAGCATGAGAACGTGAGCTGCAAACCTCTGTGGATTCCCTGAGGAAGGAGATGGCATTAACGCAGAAGGAGGCAGCATGAGAGCACCGGCAGCAAGGTGCCATTAGAGATGAGATGGCAGCATGGCCATGTGTTCTGAAAGAGTAAGAGGCCAACAAGGAAAAAGATGAACTCTTGAGGGAAGCACAGGTGGAGGTGGCATGAGGACGTCAGCTGTGAAGCATTGAGCTGAATGTAAGAGATAATCTGAAGATTGAGCTGGCACTGTTGCAAGGCACTGTAGCAGAGGAGGCACTTGGGGGAGGTGAGAGAAAGATGCCATCAACCCCAGATAATGGAGGAGCTGGAGAAGGACGTGGTACCAGAGGCACTGGCACCTCCTGTATTGAAAGCATGCCCAGTGGTTGTAAAGAAAATAAAGACCTAGCAGCTGAAAGTTCCCCAAGGAGAGGAGCAGTCCCCTCCCCAGGTCATGGAGCATGCTACGGTCCGCCTCTATACTCAGGCTGAGCTGGTGGATTTGGGCTCCCGGTTTAGGCAGAAGCCCTCAGAGTCAGTATCAGCTTAGCTCCTGCATCAGTGGGACTTAGAGATTGATGGAATTGTTCCGTTGGGATCAGAGATGGGAAAGCTGTATTCCCTGACAGTGCAGCCTGCCTTGAGGCAGCAATTACAAAATGCACATCAGACCCCAGGGAGTCACTCCCTCCTCGACTGGCTTACGGCTGCACTTTGTGCTGTGTGGCCCAATCCAGGTGATCTGTCATCCTCCCCTGTTAGATGGCAGACATATGCTGAACTCCAACAGGTGCTACAAGAGCTAGGCATAAGAAATGCCATCTATAGTCCAGAGAATTATAACCCAGATGAAAAGATTTTCACTACTGGGAAGAGAAATACTGCACTTCAAACTGCTCCTACATCCCTCTTTGGGTCTCTAGTGGCCATTCTTTCCCCTCCCTTAGGGCAACCCATAAACAAGGTGACACATACAGAAGCAGACTTGAGAGGCAGAAGCAATGAGAATCAAACTAAAGAACTGAGAGTGGCTATTTGAATTAATTTTTCTAGAATTAATGAATAATTATTTTGGGGGAGAGTTATATTTCATCCTGTTCTTATTACTGAAAGATATATTTTTTAAAGTTAAGGCCATTAAAATAATGAGAACAGCTTATGTTTTTTTTTTCAGAGACAGAAGAGACTACTGCTCCCCCTTTTCCCAAAAAAA